TACAAAGTTATACTTTATTGTAAAATTTTCCCCATATAATTTAAGGTAGGTTTTCTATCTAATAAAGTCTAATTTATAATGTGGTTCAAAGCCCTTGAATGAAAAATAGAATGTAAAGTTAATATTAGCTCCATATTCTTCTTGGCAGAACTAAAAGATGTTGCTAGGGTTTTATGTTCCCTGATGTTGACTTTCAAAGATAGAGTTAGAGTCCAAATATGTCACCATTTTTCCATTTATGAATTTGAACCCCACTTTTGTCTTTTTATGTTGTTATTTTATATATATGTTTATGACCTCATTGATTCATATATGTGTCAGTAAATCTTTTAAGTTAAGTAATAAATTAATTTTTTATGGCCGAAACACAGAGATTAGCTTCTTTCTGAAAGTGTCACAGTAAATTTTAAGACCCATGAATTAATCCCTCTCTTTTAGGTCCCTCTCCCCATTAATTTTTGCTTCTCTTAGCCATGTTTTGTAGTTTCTGTATATAGGTTTTGCACATCTTTTGTCAGATTTATCACTAAATATTTTATATTGTTTGCTGCTTTTTTTAAAAAGGTGTTTTTTAAATTTAAATTTCTGGTTATTTGTTGCTACTATCTAGAAATACAAATGATTTTTGTGTATTGATCACATATTTTGTACCCTTGGTAAAAATCACTTATTAATTCTAGTAGCTTTTTTTATTTATAAATTTCATTGGACTTACTACATAGATGAGTCTGTCTTCTGTAAATAGGCAGTTTCATTTCTTTGCAATATGAATGGCTTTTATTTATTTTTCTTGCCTGATTGCATTGTCTAGAACTTATAATACAGTTTTGAATCAAAGTGATGTAAGTCGACATCCTTAACTTGCTCCTGTTTTTGAGTGAAAAGCATTCAGTCTCTCACCATTAAGTATGACGGTAGCTATAATTTTTTTGTAGATGCCCTTCATCAGGTTGAGAAAATTTTGTTTTATTTTTTACTTTGTTGTGTTTTTATCATGAACGAGTACTGATACTGTCAAATGCCTTTTCTGAGTGTACTGAGATGATCATATATATATATATATATATTTAAATTCTATGTATTAGATATTTATTCTTGCATAATAAATTATCCCATAACTTAATATTTTAAAACAACAAACATTTTATCTCATAGTTTGTGTTGTGGGTCTCAAATCCAGGTGCTACTTTTTTTTTTTTTTCGTGTCCGGCAACAGATCGCAACCCTCAGTGTCGCGCCCGTACCGGACTGGGACTGGCAACGGGATCGCAACCCTCGGTGTCGCGCCTGCACCTCGTTCAGCCAGTGAGCGGGAACCGGTCTGTATGTGGGATCCGAACCCTCGGCGGGAGCGCCGCCGCGCTCCCAAGCGGCGCACTGTAGCAGTGCGCCACTGGGCTGGCCCCAGGTGCTACTTTTCAGGGCACCTTTGTCTCAGAATCTCTCATTAGTTCCAGTCAAGCAGAAGGCCAGGATTGTGGTTGGCCTTGAAGGCTTGACTTGTAGTTTTTGCAGGCCGTAGTTCTGCACATGTGCCTCTCCACAGAGGTGCCTCATGACATGGCAACTGGCTTTCCCCATGACTAGTGATCTAAGAGAGAGAGGAAATGCGAGGGTGAGCACCAACTCAGAAGCCATAATCTTTTAAAATATTTTCTCAGAAGTGGTATCCCATGATTTCTGCCATATTCTATTTGTTGGATGCAAGTCAACAAATGCAGCCCACACTCAAGAACTGGGAATTAAATAAGAGTATGGATACCTAGATGTGGGTGTCATTGAGAATAACACATTTTTGAATGTTAAGCCAACCTTGCATTCCCGGAATTAATACTCTGTTATCATAATTTATTATTTTCTTTATATATTATTGGATTCAATTTGATGAAAATGGACCAAAAATTTTTTGTATCTGTGTTCATAAGAGAGTTTGATCTGTAATTTCCTTGTAATGTTATTTTCTGGTTTTAGTGTTAGAATGATGCTGGCCTCATATAATGAATTGAGACATATTCCCCCTCTTCAATACTTTGGAAGAGTTTTATGGCCGAAACACAGAGATTAGCTTTAGAGTAAATCTTTGGTTTACTTCATCAGTGGTGCCAACTGGCCCTGGCATTTTGTTTGCATTAGGGTTTTGACCACAAAATCAATTTCTTTAATAGACATGGGCTTATTCAGGTTATCTATTTATTCTTGAATGAGCTTGGTCATTTTTATCTTTCTTTTTTTTTTTTTTGTCTTTTTCCGTGTCCGGCAACGGATCGCAACCCTCAGTGTCGCCCCCGTACTGGACCGGGACCGGCAACGGGATCGCAACCCTCGGTGTTGCCCCCGCGCCTCGCTCAGCCAGTGAGCGGGAACCGGTCTGTATGTGGGATCCGAACCCTCGGCGGGAGCGCCGCCACACTTCCCAAGCGGCGCACTAGCGCAGTGCGCCACCGGGCCGGCCCCATTTTTATCTTTCAAGGAATTTGTTTCATCTAAGTTGCTGAATTTATTGGCATAACATTGTTCATAATATCTGTAGAATCTGCAGTGATGACATGTCTTCCATTCCTGATTTTGGCAATGTATGTTTTTTACCTTTTTTTCCTTATAAGTCTGGCTGGAGGTTTATCAATTATTTTATTTTATTTATGTTCTCTGAAAAGCATCTTTAGTTTTATTGATTTTCTTCATTGTTTTCTGTTTTCTGTTTCATTTATTTCCACTCTGATATATTTATTTATTATTTAAGTCTTCTGCTAATTTTGAGTTTCATTTACACTTCTTTTTCTAGTATTTTAAGGTAGAAGCTGAGGTCATTGCTTTCAGACCTTTCTTTTTTTTTCTATATGCATTTAGTACTATACATTTTCCTACAGCTAAAGTTCTACTTTAGCTACATCTTGTTATTTCCATATTTTGTTTTATTTTGTCATTTTCATTCAGTCCAAGATGCTTTCTAATTGGCTTTTTTGTATTATTTAGTTACCAAGTGTTTTGCTGTTATCCTTATCTTTCAAAGTACACATTGAGTATCCCTTATCCAAAATGCTTGGAATCAGGAGTGTTTCAGATTGTGGGTTTTTTTTTTTTTTTTTGATTTTGGAATATTTAAAGAGTACATACTGGCTGAGCATCCATTATTTAAAAATTCAAAGTCAGAAATGCTCCAATGAGTCTTTCCTTTGAGCATCAAGTCAGCGCTCAAAAAGTTGTGGATTTTGGAGCATTTTGGTTTTTGGATTTTTGGATTAGGAGTGCTCATCCTGTACCTTTTTTCCTCTATTGGTTTTAAGCAGTTTAATTTAAATGTGCTCTTATGTATTTTTCTTTGAATTTCTTGTGTTTGCGGTTTGGTCACTCCTCAGGCCCATGTGTTTATAATTTAATTGCTTCCGTGATGTGAATGTCTTTTTATCTATTGCCTTCACGTCCTTAAGAACACAGAAACCCTCAAAAAAATTTAGTGCACTCAACCTACTTGTGATAAACTGTAGTTTTTGATATGAGTAGAGGATTCTGCCTTCGATCATCTAAAAACATCTTTAACAGTTTTGTGGTGTGCTAAAAAGCATGATAATATTCTTATTTAACTTAATTCAGCTTGTGCTGAATAGTTGAGCCACACTCTTAGGACAGATTTGATGCTTAATATTTTATTAAAATTTTTTTGTTTGTTTCAGAAACTTGAAATAGCTTAGTTTAATTGTACATACTTTCCTACTATACTGTTTTTTAAAAAATTACATCAGCATGTTTATTATATAATTCAAACAATACAGAGGTGTATAATCTTACCTGTTATCCATATAATTCCATGTTTGGAGGTATCTGATGTTAAAAGTTTGGTGTGTTTCCTTCTTTACTTTCCACTAATTTCATACACACACATACAAATATCTATCTATATATATGTGTGTCTGTATTTATATCTCAATCTATCTCTATTTATCCATATACATAGATACATTTATTACCCTTATAGAATCATACTGTGCATATTATTCAGAAACTATATATTTTTACTTTAACAAAAGGGCTTCAGTCTTTTCTGTTTTTCTACTTTTGGTAGCATATAGAGATGGGAAACTTTTCATAGGAAGAAAAAAATTCTAAAAGCAATTTTCATTTAGAAATTTATTTTCTTAAGAGAGAATAACAAAGTTACCTAGCTTTATGGACAAACTAGAGGCCATAAAGTTCTTTAATAAGAATTACAAAGTCTCCAGAGTATAGAGAGAATGATAGGGTTAGAACATAAAGTAGAAAACGAAGAAAAGTCAGAGTCACTGAAATAAAATGGGAGAGTAGGGCAGTGTGTGCAGGAGGAAAATGAGTGAATATATTGGGAAGGAAATAGAGGTCTAGCAAAGTAATGTAAACAAACTTTTGAAATGAGTGTTATTCAGTGTTTTTCTTTTCAGTATTATTCCTTTTTATCTATTAGTTCTGGAATTTAAAAAACCCACCATTTTCCTCAGTTCTTTAACATCTTTAATTATTAGCTGTATTCCAATTTGGAGATGAAATCCAGATGGGGACAGATTTTAAACATATACATTCAGGCATAAAACTTGCAATAGTGCCTTTTTTCTTGTAGCCTGTGTTGGCTGCTTCCATGATGACCCAGTGCCTATCTGATTCAGCTCAACTGTTTTTTTTTTTTTTTTAATTATGGCGAGTTATCCAATCTCTTAATGATCCAGAAATAATTCACTTGAATTCCGGTGGTAAAACACATGATAGAGTTCAAGAACCACCTCAGGGTACGAGCAGTCTAGGTCGTAAGTTTGTCATTTTAGGGGTTGCTTTTTAGCATAAGCCCCTAAGCAAGAATAAGCAGAATGATTATGAAGAATTTTTCCTACTGTGATTTAAGCTGTTAGAATGTGAGCTTTGGGGTATTTTCTGAAACTTGAAATTGGCATGCCTTCTAGAACAATAAATCAACATGTTTAGTGATATTAAAGTTTCAGTGGAGAGTTCTGATTTTAACTTCTTTTTTTTTCCAGATATGTGTCACAAAGATGTCTACACGGAACTGCCAGGGAATGGACTCAGTGATCAAACCTCTGGACACAATTCCTGAGGATAAAAAAGTCAGGGTTCAGAGGACACAGAGCACTTTTGACCCATTTGAGAAACCAACTAATCAAGTAAAGAGGGTACATTCTGAGAACAATGCTTGCATTAACTTTAAGACCTCCTCCACTGGCAAAGAGTCACCTAAAGTTAGGCGGCACTCCAGCCCCAGCTCGGTAAGTGCAGTCTTCTCATTTATCTCTGGGGAAAGAGAAGGAATATCCCTTTTATAATAGCAGCACACAGTGTTGGAAGACAGCAGGTGGTTTTATCTGTGTTTTATTATGCATTCTCTCCCAGGGTGGTTTAATGTTTTGGAAGAGAGAGAGAGAGAGAGAGCAAGCTATGTATGGACTCCTTATTCATAAGCACCCAGCAAGCAAATGAATGAAATGATTCAACTTATTTTTTTCTAGTTGTTTCCAGCTAGAGGAATTTATCATTAAAAATCCTTTGTATTTCAAACCCTTGGAGAGGTTATTGAACTTTACTGTTTGTGGTCAGTAAAGATAGTTTTGAAATTGGCAAATTCACAAAGAATTTTATTTCAAAATAAATGTCAAAATTTGTTCACTTGTGTTATTTCAGTTTGTTTTTAATGTAAATATTTTAAAATTTAAAAGCTGGACATTGACATTTATCTCTTAAGAGAAATTCTATTCGTCATAATGAAATTTACTAAACTCAAACTAAGTCAAGGCAATTCATGCCTTTTGATCTAAGGAGGTTGTCTTAGTTCAGGCTGGTACAACAGAATACCACTGACTTGGTGGCTAAAACAACAGACATTTATTTCTCATAATTCTGGAGGCTGGTCTGGTGTCTGAGGGACTAGTCAATCTGGTGTCTGAGGTGGGCACTTTTCCTGGTTTGCAGATGTCCGTCTTCTCGTTGTATCCTCACATGGCAAAGGGAGATCCTCGCTCTTGTGTCTCTTCTCATAAGGGTGCTGATCCTATTCATGAAGGCTTCATCCTCATGATCTAATTACCTCCCAAAGACCCCACTTCCTTATACTGTCTCACTGGGGACTGGGAATTTTCAACAGGAATTTTGGGGGGACACATTTAGTCCATAGCAGAGGTATAAAATTCTGAGGTGACTGCTGCTTTTTTTTTTTTTTCCTTTTTGTCTTTTTTACTGACCGGTAACGGGATCGCAACCCTCGGTGTCGCGCCCATACTGGGGACCGGCAATGGGATCGCAACCCTCAGTGTTGCGCCCACACCACGCTCAGCCAGTGAGCGGGAACCGGTCTCCACATGGGATCCGAACCCTCGGCGGGAGCGCCGCCACGCTCCCAAGCAGCGCACTCTCCAGTGCGCCACTGGGCCGGCCCAACTGCTGCTTTTTGCCTGTAAAATTTTTTACTAGAATTCCTATTTCCAAGACTAGTGTGCACATAACATTGTGAAAAAGTCCTTAAGAGCTTTTGAAATTAAGTAATTTTCAGATTTAACATATACTTAATCTTTTGACATAGATTCTCTAAGAGTTTAAGAAGTAAAAGGAGAATGCTCAGATAATTTTGATTCTGTTATCTTGTTAAGAAACATGCCATTTCACAAATTTTAAGTTGTAAATTTTACAAGGGCAAAAACAATAGAAATGTCAGTTGTTAGAAGAGTGTAGACACTTCAGTTCAATTAAACTGTATGACACTACACAGATCTTGTGTTACATTTTGTATTAACAAAGCTGAAATAAATATTATTAATGTAACACTTGTGGGATTTGATTGTTTTTTCTCAAACTGGCCCCTATACTCTTGTCCATGATTATAAGATGGGGTTCACTTGTGTCACAGATATATTACTAACTCCTGGGATTTCGATTTAGTATCATATAGAAGAAATTAAAGGAATTGTTGAAATGATTAAGTCCATGTTATGAAAAGAGATTTATATATATTTTATGATATTGTTATCTTAATATTATTATATACATCAACCTATAAGTGATATATAGGAATTGGCTTACCAATTTTGAGCAGTTCCTTACTTTCTGGTCCTATAGTTAGTTTATATTATATTTTCCTTGCTCCATACCTACAATCAGCCATTTCTCCAAAGAGCCCTTGTTCCTTTTATTGGAGAATGGTATTTAGGAACAAAGCTCTGGGTACTGGATGTGCTTGTTGTTATACTAGGTGTCCATGTGAGCACATACATCATAGTATAAATGGTAAGATTAGGATTTTGATATTCATTTTTAATTCTTAATAAGGAATTAGTTAAAATCCTTATTGAGAAAAGTTGAGACTCATCTGTCTGATGTGCTGTGAACTTCTCTCTTTTTAAACTTAACAATTATTTTAAAGCAATTCTTGAATGTAGCTTGAAAGATCAAATAGGAGAGGATTCTTGGAGGATGGCAGTGGCATAGGTTTTGAAACCACTCATATAATCAGACAGAGCAACTAGTGTGGTAAAATCAAAAATGATGGATAATATCTATAATAAATATGGGTGACAGCGTGTCTCCATGAACCACAAAATAGGAGTGAGGGGACAAACCATGAACAGTTTTAAGAACTGTGTGGTGTTAGAATATGTGAAGGAGGCAGCTCAGGGAAGGCAAAGAGACTGGCGATTACTCTCAGAACCAGGAAATCCCAAATATCATGAAGTAGGTACTAGTGGCTTGTTGGATCATTCCTAGGACAGCAACAGTAACTAGGAGGAGACCTTGATGGCTCCTATGAGTGGATGAGTGCAGGGAGACCATGGGGCAATCTAATGTGAGGTTAATCTGCTAGTCTTTCTCCTGTGACTTCTCTAAAGTGACAAAGTGAAGTACTTTTCCAGGACAAAGCCCTGCACTGCATAGAAAATGCTGTAGTAAAATTCTGTGCAGGCCAGGTTCAGTAAGGCCAAAGAAAGAGAGGGTCCAGAAAGAAGCGTTGGAGGAAAGATATAACTAGTGATTTACAAGATACAAAGGGACGCATCAAAAAATAATTTTGTCTGTTATATTTCTATTCCCAAATATGTTTTCCCTACTTTTTGGCTTAAATTAGTATACATTACTTATAGTCTTGTGGTGATGTAAATACTGCTAATATGAAGCCACATAGTGTACTCTGATTAAATTTCCTTCCTTGCACAACTTTTTCATTTTCCTGGTTGTAATTGCTTTCTCTTTTCATTTTTCACAATTAATATAATTAATATAATTCTAATCACAAATTGGAACTATTTGAGAGTGTCTTGCTTGAAAGACAAGTTAGTTTTCTAGGCAATAATATTTGATAACAATGCATCAGATGAATGCTAAAGAATTCTGTGCTCTGTTAAGAATTGCTGGAAGAGACTGAAACTCTATGAGCAAGTCACCTGTTACAATTTCCAATAGCCAGAGGGATGGGGACGGGTCTGGAGCAGCCATGCCAGGAGACAGCGCGACCCTGAGAAGTGTGCGCTGTGATACCAGAGTACTATTTGCATTTCCAAGAGCAACAAAAAACAAATAAATCTTTCAACAACGAACCTACAACGACAGACAAGCAACAACAGGTTCAAGGTTTTAGGGCCGAAACAAAAGAAGACTCCTGAGAGCGCCCAAGCCCTGCTGCGGGTTCGAGCGAGCAGCCCGAGA